CCTGCTTTTAGTTCCCTTCTATTCCTAGTTAAACTTTTTTATCCTGGAGGGTGTTGGATTTTGCCTCTTCTGTGTCTATTGAAATAGTCATGTGGTTTTGGTTCTTTAATCTACTAACATGGTGTAATATATTGATTTTCAGTTGTTAAACCAATCTTGCATTCCTGTAATAAATCTCACTCAGTCTTGGTGTATAGTCTTGTCTTTATGTTGCAGGATTCAGTTGGCTAGTGTTTTGTTGAGAATTTTTGTCTGATGTATATATTTGTGGCTTTCTTTTCATATCTTTCATTTAGATATCAGAATAGCAGTGACCTCATAGAATGAGTTGGGAATTTCATATCAATAATCTTGAATGTTTGTAGTATTCAGTATGTGTCTTAAAATATTCTTTACTATGTAGTATTTTGTAGTATGGAAGCCATCTGGGCCTCAGCTTTTCTCTTTGGGTAGCTTTTAAATTGTTAGTTCAGTTGCTCTACTTGTTATAGGTATATTCAGATTTTCTATTTCTTCTTGAGTTGGTTTCAGTAATTTATGTCTTTTTCTAGGAAGTTGTCAGTTTCATCTAAGTGATCTAATTTATTGGCATACCGTTGTTCATAATATTCTCTTATAATTCTTTTAATTTTGTTCTGTAAGATTGCTGGCAATGTTATCTCTTTCCTTCCTGATTTTAGTAATTTGAGTCTTCTGTGTATTTTTCTTGGTCAGTCTAGCTAAAGGTTTGTCAGTTTTGCTGATCTCAAAAAAACAGCTTTTGGTTTCATTGATTTTTCTCTATTATTTTTCTATTCTCTGTTTTATTAATTTCCACTCCAATCTTTATTATTTCCTTACCTCTGCTTACTTGAGATTTAGTTGCTCTTTGTTTTCTAGTTTCCTAAAGTGGAAGATTAGGTTATTGGTTTAAGATCTTTCTGCTCTTTCATTTGTAGCTATAAATTTCCCTCTGAGGACTGGGTTTGCTGTATCACAAGTTTTGGTGTGTGTTTCATTCATCTGAAAATGTTTTTTTGTTTATCTTGTGATTTCTTCTTTGACCTGTTGGTTATTTAGGAATTTGTCTTTTAATTTCCAGATTTCTTTCTATTGTTGATTTAATTCAGTTTTGATTGAAGAATATACTTTTCATGATTCATATGAATATACTTAGTATGATTTCAGTCTTTTGAGGTTTGTCTTATGGCATGATGTCTGTTTCTTAATCTGTAAAATATTCTCTAAAATAAGGATAAATTAAGGATAGTTGCTTAACTGTTTACTACTGCTAGTTCTCATGACTTAACAAGCATGTAAAGCAAGGCTTAATCAACCTTAAGATAGATAGACATAGCACTGTGTTCTCTTTAGTACTACATTTTTTTAAGAGAGCTGAAACTTAAAAATGTCTCATTTATTAATTGTGAGATTGGAGAAAATTATAACAAAGGATCTCATATAAGGGCTATTTCCTCAAAAATATTGGAGCAGTAATAAAATTATACGGTTTTTCTTATATGATCTTGAAAATTTATGAAAGGTATTTAAGAAGAAAAACTTCATTTTTATGTCTCTGCAGGTTGGTATCATGCGTGATCGTCTGATTCAATTCATCTCTAAATTGCAGTTTGCTGTGACCGTACTCTTGGCATCATGGACAGAGAAAAAACGTAGAAAATCAACCACCACTTTATGTGTACTCAACATTGTCTTCTCTCCATTCGTGTTGGTCTTCATAGTTTTTTCTGCACTACTCTCTTCTCCCTTACTCCCCCTCTTCACCCTTCCTTTGTTCTTGGTGGGGTTTCCTCGACCTATTCAGAGTTGGCCAGGAGTTGTGGGTACCACAGCCTGTGTGTGTGCTGATACAGTGTACTACTACCAGATGGTCCCGAGTTTGAACACTGCTCTGCAGTCTGCAATGGCAGCTGGAAGTTTAGGTAAGTAAATGGGTTGTGCTTAAGAAATCCTCACAAATGTATTTAAAGTACAAAAAAATGAACACACAGAAAAACAGTCTTTTGATCCAGCTGTTATACAGATTCTAATACTTTGATGTGCAGGCAGAAAGACTAAATATGAAGAAGTATATCTCCTACTCCTTATTTTGAGGGAAATAAAGTTATAAAATAAAAATATCAAGTGAAAATTTCATTTAGGTGATTTGACAATTTTTAAGAAACATTTTCTTGACTGAAATCAAGTTATAGTCCCCCATGAAACATGAAAACACCTTATCCCAAAATTTTCATGAATTTTAATGAGTTCATGTCTAGTAGATGTAACAGCTTAGGCCCATAAAGAGTAAAAACTAGCATTATATAAATATCAGATTGAAGAGCCTAAAGGAGTTTGCTTGTATCTTATTAGTTAATGTCTAGCAACTTGTCTGGCAAGGTTAGAGGGTAAGGTAACATAAAAGCTTTGGTCAGTGATCGGGTAACCTCCCAAAATGAAGTGCTATACGAATGTTAGCAAGATTTTTGATGAGAATGAGCTAATATTATAATTTTTTGATAATTTTATAATTTCATCATACACTAACTGTAAATTCAGCTATATTGTACTTCTCAAGGTTGGTTTTTAGATAAAGTACAAGCCAATGACAATAGTGTATTGTCTCCTACTGTATGGTTAGCCCCTGAACTTGTTTTAGGTATGTCCAGTGACTTCCTAGCAGACTGACTCCCCTGGCAGAGAGTAGCAATTTAAAATTAGAATTTTAATGAAGTGTTTATTTGGGTTGAACTTTTCTAATTATCTATTATGTGAGATAATTTAGGAAAATTTTTATTTTTGTAATACAAATTTTTAATGAATAATCATTTTCCTTATAGGAAATATTCTACACTTTTAATACTTTCATACAGTTCCAATTAATTTTTATTGTATAGTGCAATGCCACTTTTTAAAATGCCTGTAAGGTTAAACTCACATCTGAAATAATAAATACCTTAGTAATAAGGTAGAAATTATACATTATTATCAAATCAATTATATTCAACCAGTAAGTGTGTTGTAAAGTATTTCCTGGGAGAAAAACAGAAAACAGTGAGGTAACATTTCACACACATCTGATTGACAAAAATGTAAAAAAAGTCTGACATTAACAAGTATTGGCTAGGGAGTGGGGAACAGGAACTCTCAAACCCTGTTGAAAGGGAATGTGTAAATTCATACAGCTACCTTGAAGAGTAAACTTAATAGTCTGTAGTAAAGATGTACATATCCCATGGCCTAGGGATTCCAGTTTTAGATTCCATGATCCAGTGATTGCAATTCTAGAGAAACTCTTGGACGTGTGTCTTGAGGGTCCCCAAGACCATTCCCAAATTTGATGATTTTCTAGGAGGACACATAGGACACCATATAGTTGTGCTCATAGCTAAGATTTAGTATAGCAAAAGGATGCAGAACAAATATAGCAAAGGAAAAGTCACATGGGGTGAGAGACTGGGTGAAAGCTTCCAGGCATCCTGTCCCAGTGGAGTTACACAGAACATGCTTAATTCCCCAGCGCCTTGTTGTGACAGTATGTGTGATATTTTGACTACTGGGGAAGCTTATTTGAGACTCAATGCCTAAGGCTTATATTGAGGGCTGGTCATATAGGCACCCGCTGCCTACCAAATACCAAAATTTCAGACTCCCAGAAGGAAAGCAAGTGCTCAGTGTAAACTGTATTCTTTGCACAGACAGTTTAGGCACAATGCGAGACTGTTTATCAGTTAGGGTGGTGAGAGCTTTTTTGAAATACAAGTTCCCAGTTTCCAGCCAAGGGCCAACTTTGTAAGCAGGCCTTTCAACAGACAGCAGTTATTTCTGCTATGTTAACTTTCTATGTAATACATTGTACAAGCAGACTTGTACAAAGATAATTTATACAGCATTATTTATAATAGTGAAAAATTGGGAAACATCTGAAATGTTTGTTATCAGGGAAATGAATATTTAAATTCAGCTATATTCATACAATGGATTCTCAGTATAGTTACAGTGAAGGAGCTTTGTAGTCAATATATAATGTCTCAGAGACAATGTTGAGAGAAAAACTAAGTTTTAAGAGTATTTGTACAGTGTGGTAGATAGCATTTTATGTAAATTTTTAACACCACACATTTATAGGCATGTATATAAAAATGTCCAAAATGTTTTAAATCATTAATGTGAAGTTGGCTTTTATATATTTAATATATTTTCCTAATATATTTAATATGTATTTAGGGTTTTACATAACAGGTTCTAATTTGTTGTTTTTCTGGAAAATATATTCTTAATTCTTATAAATTATCACCGGTAGATTTTCTCTTCCAACTGTTCCTGTAAAGAGCTTAATTTAATGCCTCCTGATATGCAATGGATAGTTGTTTGTATTCTTGACCTAAAAAGAGGGTAGAAAGAATTATTAATTAGTTCCAAGTGTGTTATTAATTTTAAAGATTCACGTGGCAAAATAAAACAAGCTTTAACAATTACTTACTTTTTTTTTCTAATTTGTTTTAGGTCTCCTCTTACCTGGGTCTCATTACTTGGGCCGTTTTCAGGATCGTTTAATATGGATAATGATTCTAGAATGTGGCTATACTTATTGCTGTATTAACATTAAGGTCAATGTGCATTTGAAACCTCTCTAGTACATGTGTAAAAATTTTGTTATGCACACATCAAAGAATTAACAGCTCACTTTGGAAGAGTATTTTTTTACTTGTGAAAACACTTAGGATTGTTAAAGTGTATTTCAATATGCACATATTGATAGACAGACTAGTGTTGACTGTATGATAGAGCATAGTAACAAAATACACTTGCCCCTTTTTTATCCAGTCTTATTCTTTTTATCCCTATCTAGTTGAGCATCTCAAAAAGGTGACTCAGTAATATTTTCTTCACTCCTATATCATATAAGCATTCTCAACTTAATATAAAAAACTTCTTTTGACCCCACTGCCCTTACCTGCTAATACTGTTTTTCTCTTTTCAGAGCAAAATGAGTCACTTATAATCATGTCTCCAATTTCATTTCTTCCATTTTTCTCTTCAACTTACTCTAGGTTTTTGACCCTATTACCTGTTACTCTAGTAGAAACCGCTGTTGTCAAGGTCTCCAGTGGCTGTGGCATTGCTAAATCCAAGAATTGATTCTCAGACCCGTTCTTGACCTGTCAGCAGAATTTGACAGAGTTCATCTCTTCACTTGTTTCACGGATTAATCCTTGACAGTCTCCTTTGATGGTTCCTTCTCTTTCCTTGACCTGTTAATATCAGACTGCCCCAGTCCTTGCTGACAACTCCATCCTCTAGTGGCTCAGATCAAAAACATTTGGGCTTTAGTCCAGTGATATTTGACTCCTTGTTTACTTCTATACCACATATCCAATCCAACAAGAAATCCTGTTGGCTCTGCCTTTAAGTCATATCCTGTATCCCACCACTTCTCACCACCCTACTTTCAGCCACCTTCATTTCTTTCCTGGATAGCTGCAATCGCTTCCTAATTGGTCTCTCCGCTTCTGCCTCTGGCCCCCTACAGCCTATTATCAACCAGAATGATCTTTAAAATCTAAGTCAGATCATGTCACTTCCCTACTCAAAATCCTACAGTGAATATCTTCTTTTGTTCAGAGTAAAAGCCAAGGCCCTAACGGGTCAGGCTCCCTATTTGGTCTCATCTGCTCCTTTAACCATCTCACCCTACTCCGGCATACTGGCTGTTCCCTCTGCCTGGAGCACTCTTCTTCAGACAGCCACACAGCTAACTCCATCACCACCTTTAAGGCTTTGCTCAAATGTCACCTTCCCAATGAGGTCTACTGTGGGCATCCTATTTAAAATTGAATACCCACTCCCATTCCTGCCTGCACTTCCAATCCTCCTTGCTTGCTTTACTTTTTCTCTATTTTCATAACACTTATACCTTCTAGCAAACTATGTAATTTACTTATTAATTTTATTGTTGATTACCTGTGTTCCTCCACTCTCTAATATAAGTGTTGCAAGAGCAAGGATCTCTGTTTTTATTTGGAGAATATATCCTGAGCACCTGGAACAGGGCCTGGCACATAGTAGGCCCTTAATAAATATTTGTTGAATGAGTAGTGAATGAATGAATTTTTTTGTCTTAATGTGGATTGGATAAAATTGCTGGTGACTAAAAAGCTGTTCCTTTAGTCCAGTGGTTCTCAAAATGCAGTTCTCCAGATTAGTAATTTTAACATGTCCTGGGAACTTTTTAGAAATGGAAATTCTTAGGCCTCACCCCAGACCTACTGAATCAGAAACTCTGGGGGAGTGCCCAGCAGTCTGTGTTTTAACAAGCCTTCCAGTGATTCTGACTCACCTAAAGTTTGAGAACTACTGCTCTAGTCTAACATGTACAAGTAGGAGAAGGCAAAAAATCATGCAGAATATGGAGGACATTTTCATTGCTTAATTTAGTTCTATTTTTTTTAATGGTACAGTTTTATAATACCTAATAATGTGGGTCCTTTTATTGATCTTTTGTGCTCCATGAAATATATGATATAAAGATATACTTTTTGGTGGCAGTCTTTTTTTCTTTTTCACTTTTCTGGACACAAGCTTGCTTAGATATACCATCTACTAACATTTATATAACACTTTAAATTTGACAAGGCACTTTCATTACTTGCTTTTCTCTTCACAACCCTATGTGCCAGGGTTATTTTTCTTTGAAAGAGAAGCAAAAGGAATCTCAGGGGGTAAGTGACCTCCTCAAGATTGTGTACTAGCATCTGGCAGAGCCATGATTTAAAAGCAGATTCTGGTATCACATTCCGTGTTCTTTCCCTGGATCATAATACAACCTAACAGCATTGCCTTTTATTAAAATCACTGGTAGTTTTGTAAAGACGTATAAATAAATAAGCAATAATTAATAATAATAGTAAACAGTGACCTGATGTATCCTCTTCAAGTGATTCCTTCTAGCGAAGTAATCAAAATGGGTTTAAAATTTATACAAAGACATATTCATAATATTCATTCTTTCAGCATGTATTTGTTGCATCCCTCATTATGTGCCAAGTACTAGTTTAGGCACTGAGGATATAGTAGTAACCAAAAGAGAGCTGCTCTGTGGAGTTTATATTGTAGTTGGAGGTGATAGGTAATAAATACATAAATCTGTATTATTATTACGTTATTATAATTTTTTTAACTGGAACAAAGGAATAGTTAGTTAAATTATGGCATATCCATATAGTAGAATACTGCTCTCATATAAAGTAGGCTGGAAAGGATACAAAGCTAATGTGCATATTGTGTAGTTCCAATTTTGCTCCCCCCCCAAATTTGTATAATTTTTTAAAGTTTTTAATAAGTGTGATTCGACCTTGACGTACAGCCTTAAAATTATGGTCATACTCATTAAAATTGTTTTGCTAATTTCCAGTGGAATTTCTAAAATTTCTTTAAAAATATAGCATTATTTTTCATATCTGTATCCAACATCAAATGTATTAAGTGTTATTAAGTTTGAATTAAGGTGTAGCTCGTGGGTTAAAGACTTTTTTGCATTTTACATATTTTTGAGAATCCAATCCATGAGCATTTACAAAACTAGTTACTTATCTCTGTGTAATAAGTGATCATAAACTCAAGTATTTTCTTATTTCCTCTTTAGGGGTTAGAATTGCAAGAGACATCCTGTCATACTGCTGAAGCTCAAAGAGTTGACGAAGTTTTTGAAGGTGCCTTTGAACAAGAAGAATATGCAAGAGTATGTTCCATTAATGAACACTTTGGAAATGTCTTGACACCCTGTACTGTTTTGCCTGTGAAACTCTATTCTGATGCCAGGAATGTCCTGTCTGGCATAATTGATTCCCATGACAACTTAAAAGAATTTAAAGGTGACCTTGTTAAAGTACTTGTGTGGATACTTCTTCAGTACTGTTCCAGAAGGTCCAACATGCAGGAAAATGTTCACAAAACTGAAAATAAAGGGAAAGCATCTCTAATAATCCTGCCTCCTTTGAATACTTCACCACAAACCAAATCCCCAGAAGACACAGATAGTTTAAATTCAGAAAATTTGGATGACTGGTCTGATGATGTTTTTGGTGAAGAGCCAACTATCAAAAAAGGAAAAGAAGAAAAAGATCAGTTGAAAGTTTTGCCAGGTATAAATTTGCCTATTCCAGGATCAGTGGAATCACAGAGGGTCAGTAAACATTCTACAGGCACAGTTACTGAAAATAGTCTTTACCAAGCAATTGCATTGGGATACCCTGCTACTGACAAAGGAAAACAAGAAGCCGTGGCATACATCCCTCTCATGGAGTTCAGTTGTTCTCATTCTCACTTGTTAAGCTTACCTGAAGAGTGGATATCTAATTGCTTGCCTAATTCCAAAGTGAAGGAGATGAGCTCATTATTTCCAGAAGACTGGTACCACTTTGTTTTAAGGCAGTTGGAATGTTTTCATTCAGAAGAAAATGCATCAAATGTAGTGGAAGAAATTGCAAAGGACAGAGTTTTAAAAGACTTTTATGTTCATGCAGTAATGACTTGTTATTTTAGTTTGTTTGGAGTAGACAATATGATTCCTAGTCCTGGTCATATATTGAGAGTCTACAGTGGTGTTTTCCCTTGGTCTCTTGCCTTGGATTGGCTCGCAGAAAAGCCAGAACTGTTCCAACTAGCCCTAAAAGCTTTCAGGTAATTCATTTTGATTACATACAAGTTGTAACATTGGCCAAAAAATGTTGATTTTTTTATAACCTAGGAGATGCTCTTTCATTTCTAGTTTTAAAAAATAATCACTTTCCAAAAAATGAAAAATGCTTGGTATGTACTCTGATTATATCGGGAGCACATTTAAATTTGTACTTTCTTTTTGTTTATGTGGAGAACCTATTTTTTGTATGGCTTACTGTATTGTTTTGCTTTAACTCTTATCCTTTCTCCCAGATCTTTTTTTCTGAAATATGTATGATTTCAGTTCAGTGTCTTTAAAAATCTATTTCATCTATAAAGTTGATTTTAAAAATTCTAAAATTCTTTGTTTCTCCCTTTTTTAGGTATACTCTGAAACTAATGATTGATAAAGCGAGTTTAGGTCCAATAGAAGACTTTAAAGAGCTGACTAACTGCCTAGAAGAATATGAAAGTGACTGGTACATTGGTTTGGTATCTGATGAAAAGTGGAAGGAAGCAATTTTACAAGAAAAACCATACTTGTTTTCTCTGGGGTATGATCCTAATATGGTAAGGTTAAAAATGTGTTCTTAAACATTTTCGTATATTAACCTTAAAGAATAGAAATCAGTTATAAAGTATTTAACCTAAGTGATAGAGATAACATTCTAGGTATAAATATATTAATTATAGTATTAAGGTATTTGTAATCATGACTTTATGGCCAACATAATCCAGTCCTAGAATAACTGATTATTTACTTTTGCAAAGCTAATAGGAGCCAATAAAGAATGTCGTGTAGCTATTATGCAGTAACTGAGCTATAAGATAGTCCAGTAAATGTAATTTGCTATAGCATATTTGACTAAATGGGTTGTATTTATATGGCAAATTCAAGTGTATGAATTATTACTTTGGATTTGAATCCTAGAAGAAAAATTTGTAATTTGTAAGCAAGTCTGCCTTGTGAAAATTCAGAGACTCTAAATAAGGAATGCCTTTTTTAAGATTTAGTACTTGTTCTCATTGCATTTAAAATGTCATTGAGTGTGCACAGTATGAAAGATCCAGTGTTATGAGCTTATTGTGGGTTCCACATGTGGTGTTACTGCACATGTGCTTCCCAATGAAAATGATGAAAGTTATTTTTAAAAAACAACCATTTAAAGTCTTAGAAATGGTCCTAAGGGCATATAGCAAATAAACATTTATTAAAGAAAATCTTCTGAAACCTAAGAACAGTTAGAGACTACATCATTTGAACCAAGACCCATTGCCTCCCAGCTCAGCAAGACAGAAACTCCACTCAGACTGGTATGGCCAAGAACACAGGGCTCCCTCTCCCCTCAGCTCCCAGCTGGAGGACTGTTTTCCCAGAAGAGGAAGGACTTCAGCATTTCTCATCTTACTCCCACCTGCCTATTGTGAGGCTTGGTTCTGGGCATGTGTAATCAAGAGGTTGGAACTCCCTTCTGGCCACCCACAACTTGTTGGATGGAGGCTTTACCTGGGCCTGGTGCCACTGACAATAGCGGGGCCTGATTCCTCTTGTCTATGGATGTTCCACAGTGGGAGTGGCAAGCCAAGAAGGCCTGAGTTTACTGCTCCCCCTCTACCAAACACATGTCCTGAAACATAGGTGTTACTCAGAAGTGCGCCATTGTCTTACACCCCAGTTCCAGCGCTCTGGCTCAGAGATTCTGCCCACTGGGAGAAGCAGACCATTAAAAAAAAAAAAGCTCTAGATCTCTTACCAAAGGAAGTGACTTCATTTGCACATAGTGTGGACACACTGAAGCTTAAGATGTTCCTCAAAAAACAGTGGAGGGGCTTCCCTGGTGGCGCAGTGGTTGAGAGTCCGCCTGCCAATGCAGGGGACACGGGTTCGTGCCCCGGTCCGGGAAGATCCCACATGCCGCGGATCGGCTGGGCCCGTGAGCCATGGCCACTGGGCCTGCGCATCCGGAGCCCTGTGCTCTGCAACGGGAGAGGCCACAACAGTGAGAGGCCCGCGTACCGCCAAAAAAAAAAAAAAAAAAACAGTGGAGGTGGTGGTGAAAGTTACTAGAGGCAATTGGTAAAATCCTTAGAGGTCTCAGCTGAACTGCAGGCCAGGTAGATTAACAGAGAGAACCAGGGAAAGAAATAGCAGAGAAGAGCCCTCCTGGGGTCAAAACAAATCTCAAACACTGACCTCCAAAACTGTTCTTTCAAAGGAGCCCAAATTTAATTGGATCACTCTGGAGCAATTTAGGTCCCAGGTCATTGTTGAAAATGTAGAGCAACCAGCTGGGTGTGAGCATTTAACAAAGAGAACCTTGCCAAAACCACTGCCATCCCATCATAACTGTGGGCACTCACAGGGCTGCACTCCCTGAGGAGCAATATCAAAGACTTCACAATTGAACAGGAGGTAGGATTAACTTCACTAAAGTCATCCAGCCATTCACTAAGCAAATATGCAAATAATAATAACAAGCCCTGGGGTGTGGGGTAGAGGATCAGTACCCAGAATTGCTGCAGTGTTATCTAAAATGTCCAGTTTTCAACAAGAATTAGGCGATATAAAAAAAACAAAAAAATCACAAGAAATTCTGACCCATGTGTAGGGTGGTGGGAGGGGGGACATGACAGAAATGGCCCGTGAGATCAACGACATGTCAGGTTTAACAAAGATATCAAAGTAACCATTTTATATATATGTTCAAAGGACTGAAGGAAATTATGATTAAAGAACTAAACAAAGTGGGAAACAAAGTGCTTATGGAGGGAACCTACCTCAACATAATAAGGGCCATATATGAGAGGCCCACAGCTAACAACATACTCAGTGGTGAAGAACTGAAGGTATTTCCTCTAAGATCAGGAAAATGACAAGGTTGCCCACTCTCACCACTTGTATTCAACATAGTATTGGAAGTCCTAGCCAGAGCACTTTAGTTAAGAAAATGAAATAAAAGGCATCCAAATTGGAGAGGAAGAAGTAAAACTGGTACTATTTGCAGATGATGTGATATTGTATATAGAAAACCCTATACTCTATAATAACAAACTATCAGAAAGAGAAATTAAGACAACAGTCCATTTATAATTGCATCAAAAGAATAAAATACCTAGGAATAAATTTTTTTTGTAACTGCAAGTTTGTACCTCTTAATCTCCTGCACCTACTTCTTTCCTATCTCCATCCCCTTCCCCTTCTCCCTCCCCTCCGGCAACCACTTGTTTGTTTCCTATGTCTGTAACTCTGTTTCTGTTTTTTTTTTTTTTTTT